CTGCAAAATCTGCTTTTCAGGCACTTTCAGATGAAGCAATAAAAAAATTGCTTGCAAATTCTCCATTCATGTTTCTAATGAGCTACATTCTCTTGTCACACAAATGTTGACGGTACGTGCGCGTTCAGAACTTTCATTGGCTACTATTTCCCATATCAGAAAAAAATTATAAAAAATACTGCGAAATCAGCTCCTGAAGCACTTCCAGATGAAGCAACCAAAAATTATTCTCCATTCGTGATTTACGAAAGGAAATCTGGCAACACCTGAGTGTTGATACGGCGTTCTTCCTTAGCACAGCGGCACTCGCCTCTGGTCCCGATGCGTGAAACCGAGCTCATTCCGTTTGATCTGTAACACNGGGGGGGGGGGGGGGGGGGGGGGGGGGGGGGGGGGGGGGGGTCGGCGGAGGGTTCGGCCGGAGGAGAAGTGAACTTGAAACTTGAAGTTGAAACCGGTGGTCTTCTCCATCCTTCACCTTGGCCGTCGTCTTCGGCGCGGCGTCCGGCGTCCGGCGACCGGCGACCGGTGGCGGTGTCCGCGGTCGAGTCTCGAGAGCGACTAATAAGTGGCCAACTGGCCGAGTGGTCTAGTGGTCCAGTCTCCAGTTTCCGCCACCGCCAGCCTTGCCGCGTCGTCTCCGAAATCCCGTCCATCGGCCTCTGGCACATTCGCTGAGAAGAAACTCCGGCCGAGGAAGCCGTGCTTACGGGCTTTGCAGATGTCACACAGTGAGACGAGCTAATAGAAGAGATCGGGCATGAAATCTTTGTCAAAAATGTCAAATTTTGATGTTTGTATCGTCACAAATTCAATCTCAAGGGGTGTTTCTGAAGGGAATGGAGATGTTGCATGTGTGAGAAATTTGCGATTTGACTGTTGATTCTTATGTAAAAGTTCGCAAGAAACACGATGATGCCACTGATTTTCCCTGAAATCAACTCCCAAGCTAAATAATAGCTCTCAAGTTGAGGCCAAAATGGAGGGGATATCCCACGCTATCCTGAGAGTCCACCTCTACATCAAGACAAACTATCCATGCAAAGATACGGAGCAATACATTGACAGGGCTGCCACTTTATTTGGGGACTCCACAACTAAAAACGCGGCAACCCTGCTAATGTACTTGCTCCCTATCTTTGCATGGATAGTTTGTCTTGATATAGAGGTGGACTCTCAGGATAGCGTGGGATATCCCCTCCATTTTGGCCTCAACTTGAGAGCTTTTTTGAACTTGGAAGCTGATTTCAGAGAAAACCAGTGGCACCATCGTGTTTCTCGCGAACTTTCACATAAGAATCAACAGTCGCATCGCAAATTCCTCACACATGCAACATCTCCAATCTCCAGGCAATTTCATCATAAACATGAAATTTACAAAATTTCAGGCACCTGCATATTCTCCATTCTCCCTCGAGTTGCACCACTGTAACTACTAGTGGCGTGGCGTGTTTTGCGATATATCGATTGGTCTGTCATTTGAATCTATAGGAGCGGATCGATAAACAAGGTGTACGCAACGAACACCTTAATAATCGATTCTGAACCATAGCTTCAAATGAGAAAATATCAATAATCGATCATTCAGGCCTCACCTCTGCATAAAATATGATCTCAAAATCCCTGCAGGAGCTATGCACAATGAAATCGTATGAATTAAATTAAAAGAGAAAGGATAGGCTCGGGGACTTAAACGCAAAATTAGAAAAGTAAGGGTAGGTTTCTATTCACGCAGCTACCGTCGGTGGCGTCGCATGCTTTGCGATAAATCGCTTGATCTGCCACTTAGACCCATGGAAAAGTATCAATAGATAGGGTGCGTGATGGAAGATTTATCAATCAGTTTTCGAACTAGTAATTCAATGTGCCACATTCATGTGATTTTCTTGCGGTTGTAGTTATTTTGTGCAATTTTCTTCCATTGAGCTTCCTCCTAGCCACGAAAAGTGTTGATCATGGAATCTCTTGAATGTCCGTGTTGCACATGCCAAACTTGAAGGCGTTTTGAGCTCCTATGTGTTCATTGCGATGCGTACTTGTTAAACCTCGAAGGAGATATTATGTTCTGATGAAAACGCCTTGATACAACTATTCGAGCGTGGTGGAAGTCCGTGTTGCATACATTAGAATTGAAGGCGTTTTTCACCTCCTCGAAGCTCATTAAAATGCACTTGTGCTAAACCGCCCGGCTGCTTTTTACACTAAAACGGTATGGCTTGGGCATTTTTTATCACCTGGCATTTTTTGGCTTTAGCTATTGATTTATTCGCTCAGAGCGGTAGAAGTATTACAAAATTAACTGAAATATATAGGTCAAAATGTAAAAGTAAAATTACACCTAATTTTGGCTTAAAAATTCCAACAGAAGTTCACACGCATCGGTTTAAACTAAAACAGAGGTATACTCTTGTGACAAGGTTTTAAAATAGTACTGGGTCCACACTTTAGTCTTCACATCCTTCAATGATTTCTTCTCCTTCTTTTTCATCTCCTTCTTCTCCTTCGTGTTTGGGTATACTCTTGTAATAAATTAAACTGAACAATCCTCTAGCCTAACGTTCCAAATTTAATAAAGTGATTGAATTATGAAGTATGGATATTTTTTTAAAGAGAAAATTAAATTATTCAAAAGTTTTTACAAAATATGATTAGCTAAAATAAAAAAACGTATAGTTCACCATGAGATAAATGAGAAAGTAAGGGTACTATCTAAAAGCTCCATTAATGGAGATGTTGCATGTGTGAGGAATTTGCGATTTGACTGTTGATTCTTATGTAAAAGTTCGCGAAAAACAGATGGTGCTATACTGATTTCTCTTAAATCAACTCCCAAGTTAAAAAAAGCTCTTAAGTTGAGGCCAAAATGGAGGGGATATCCCACCCTACCCTGAGAGTCCACGTCTACATCAAGACAAACTCTCCATGCAAAGATAGGGAGCAAATACATTGACAGGGTTGCTACTTTATTTGGGGACTCTAAAACTGAAAACACGGCAATCCTGCCAATGTATTTGCACCCTACCTTTGCATGGAGAGTTTGTTTTGATCTAGACGTGGGCTGTCAGGGGAGGGTGGGATATCCCCTCCATTTTTGCTTCAACTTGAGAGCTTTTTTTGAGCTCGGGAGTTGATTTCAGAGAGAACCAGTGGCACCATCGTGTTTCTAGCAAACTTTTACATAAAAATCATCAGTCAAATCGCAAATCCCTCACACATGCAACATCTCCATTAAACCGGATTCAAAGTGGAAGATTCGACGGCAATTTCGGCATCACTGGGCGGGAACGTGGCTTGCCACCCCCGCGAGATGATGCGGCGTAAGAGGTCACAATTCTGAGCCCGATGCTCCAATGCGGATGGATTGTCAACATCCATCAAACCGAGAGCTCTCAGAGCGGCCGCGGCGGTCAGAGGTCACCCGCGAACATAGGTTGTCACATCTCGTGAATTAAAGCTCATTCTCAATCATCTATCCAACAACGTCCGACACTTTCTTTGGATTTTAGACTTTCATACTGCCGTGCTAAGGAAAAACGCCGTATGGACATTCGAGAGTTGCCAAATTTCTTTCTATAAAATGTTTATTTTTGAGGAAAAGAAGGAATATTTTTCCTTGAAATTTTCAGGAACTTTAGGTGAAATTGCGAACAAAATTATTTGAAAAATTGGGAGAAAAATATTCACAAATTTTCCCGAAAATTCGTGATATCCTTAAGGCAATTTGGTAACGTCTGATGGCTCATACGGCGTTTTTCCTTAGAACGGCAGCATTAGACACAAATAAAAAAGAATCGTTGATTTTCAATGCTCATGAGGATTCTAAGTAGAACCTAATTTTCTATACCAAGGCGGATCCAAACACTCCAAACGACGGGAGAAGGGGATGTCTGTGGCGTTTTTATCCGAAAATTTTTGAATTTTAATGCATATAATTTGCGTCAGTTTCGTCGAGAACAATTGCCAAGTGTAAGCTTTCTTCCATCCTCTTTCCTCCATTTCTCCCGTCTTCCTCTCTTTTTTTCCTTTTCCCTCTTCCTTTTTTGGAACGAACGGGAGAGGGGTGCGGCCCCCTTCAACCCCTTCCTTGGATCCGCCTATAGTAGATACAATGTTACTTTAGTGGTAACAATTTCGTAGGTCCTACGGCGGTTAATTCAGCGTTCTGTGAGTTGTCGCACACTTTTTTACATCCAGAATGTTAAATCAGCATCTTTTTTTTCGGTGTCGTTTTTAAAGAGGTTCTTTCAGTTCAATTTCGTCCAAAAGAGGAATTCTTGCATCCAAGGCAGGCTATTTGTCAAAGGTGGATGGTCGGAGCTTACCAGGTGATTTAATATGATCTCGGCACAATTTGACAGGACTGGTCGAGCGGCAGGCGCAGGGCGCACCCAGGAAGGAATATTCTAGCTTCAGCTCCAAGTTCGAACTCGAAATTGGTTTACAACATTTCGATCGTCTTATCCCGATTCCCGGACCGATACTCAACGGTACTTGAATGTGCCCCCGCATTCAGCCTCGTTGCCAAACCTCATTTCAAGACGCATTCGGAAATTTATGTTTTCTTGACCATAGAAGTGCGCAGTTTTTAAATAAAATCTAGACTTAATGCAATAACTGAAATGAGAGAATGATCAAAGTTAGTACTTCCTCTTTTTAAAATCGTAACAATTGAATGAACGACCTTGTCTGTGTGCTCAATGGCATCTCTTATCGGAAAGTGAGCAAAAAATTAGAACAATAAGGGAAAACATGGAAATATATCGTATCCGCTACATAATGTTATCAAGTTGTTGTACACAGGCGACCAGTTTTTCTTACTCGAAGCTATTCAAATGTAAGGTGACAAATAAGTTTATTTGCCTACTCCGCTCAACTGAGTCTCCTAATACATTCGTCTCATTGTCGTTATTGTCTATTCTAATCTGAGAACTTTAAGCCCAGCTTAATATGTGGATTAGGCGCACAAAAGCAGAGCTAGTTTTGATTCAGACGTCAAATTTTTTCGAGGGCTAGGATGGTCAGTGTTTTTCTCAGGACTGTTGAAATTTCGAGCTGTACTCATCCTCCAGCGTCAAACTCTAATACCTGGATCATTCTTGCTTACTTGTAAGTTTTCATATCATGATTATTTTTATAAATAAAATAAAAATAATGTAATAAAAATATTTTTATTCGAGGATTTCTTTTAGTCCCCTTGTGAAAGTACTTGCATAGAACATGATATATTTTTTTAAATAAATTACAATTTAGATGTACAAACTCGAGGGATTAACTGTGAATCAGTCAAGTTCACTTAATCGAAATACACCCTTTCACTTACGTGAACCATGCCTTTTTTAGCATCGCTCTCTAAGCCACGAAAGGTAGTTGTTCCCATATCTCCTATCCTTACATTAGAATCTTAAGATTTTTGGAGGAAATTTTGGTAGTTTGATGGCGTTTTGAGGAACTCTTTAAAATTGACCCCCTCTAAATGCGATCTGCACTCTAAAAATTCACACATCAGGCTTCCACGAATGATTTTAAAACCCTTCTCAATGTACCTAGAGTCAGTTCATATGCTAAATGATGTTAAGTCTAATCTGTAGATTTTTAAAGGAAATATATATTATTACGAAAGAAAAATAATTTTTTGAAAAATGTTAAGATTATGGGATCGTCACTTGAAAAGTATGAAAATATCAATCTACACCACTAAATCTCTAGTTGTCAGCCGACTGCGGCACAGTGGAAAGTTGGCAACACTGCTTTTCTCTATTTAAATCCATTAAAATTATCGAATTTCGGCGAGGCAAGCTGCCTCACCAAGAATCGATTGTTTTACATACATTTAAATGCAAGGAAAACGATGTTGCCAACTTTTAAGAATCGCCACTGCATCGAAACTTAGTCTTACTTTTCTACCTGTGCGTTGAAGTCTCCAAGGCTATTCTCTGCGCCCATTGATATGTCGATAGATAGACACAAGTTTTTATCACTGAGTGTTTTGATCGTATACTGATTGAGCGATCCTGTTCAATCGATTTTAGTAGAAATTGGTAGTAGATGGTATATTTTGATGGGAAACTCGAATTGTTGGTCAAACTTTCAAAATTCCAAAATCCTAGATGGCGGACATGGTCCAAAATGCTATCTCGGCTCCGATCCAATCGATTTTCGTGAAACTCTGTATTACGAGTAATTCTTGACGAAAAAGGCGAATATCAAGTCAAATTTTCGAATTTGTCGAGATCAAAGATGGCAGAAGTGGCCTCAAGTGCTACATTGGCTTTTCCAAAAGTATCAATCCTTGCAATTAAAATATCTATTTATTTTCTGTTCATTTTTGAAATCGATTTACCCTCAGTTTATTTATGTCGCAGGCAATTGGCAATTACATGGCCGGCAATTTACAAGCCAGTCGTAAATAAATATAGAAAATCATAAAATTCAAAAATAAAAGAACAAGATGAGAGTGCTTATTATGTTGCCTATAATCTGAATAGACACTTTTTTATCCTTAAAAACATGGCAGGAATATCCACATATTTAGAAGAGTATGTAGTGAACTCCGTGACATTAGTTGGGTTGAGATCGGACAGGCGACTAAACTAACATTGTGGCAAAGCGTAGAGTATCACAAAAAATGAAGGCGCTTCAAGCCGAGCACATACTTTTGAGGACCATGACCCTTCCAAAGAGCTTGATGCAAAAACGGCTTTTTTCGCCCCCCCTCTGGAAGTTCTTCAGACTTTGTCTATTGATTACTCATACTTGAGCGCTTCTTTTCCCAAATTTTCAGACCCCCAAAAAATTTTGGGGGGGAGCTAGGGGGGGGTGGAAGTCAAAACCTGTGAACCTCGATATCTCTTGGACGAAGAAAGATATCGAAATCCGGTTTGGACCAAAAATCGTCTAAAATTGCATACTTTAAGATTCTAAAGGTCGAAATCCCGATATCACATTTTTAAGTCAACATATGTGCTTTTTTCCAGTTTTTAGGTCTAGAAAATTTCTTTTAAACGAAAAATTTTCAAAGATCTCAAATTTTTATTTGAACCAAAACCAGTTTTTTAAATTGTTCGTCTTTTTCCGCATCCAACGAGTGGTCCATTAAGCTGGGGAACCAAACGGTTCCGGAGTTATGATCGATTGAAGTTTCCGCTCAACGCGCGCCGACCGATTTTCGCGCGCAAAAAAGTCGGATTTGACTGTTATTAGATCAGATTGAATGTTCAAACTGAGCAAAATGCATTATTAGGGACTCTTGAGGGTCGCTGAGTCCAGAAATTACAGATACTTCCAAAAAACTCACGTTTTTAAAATTACAGCTCCGCAGCGCTATTTTAGAGGCCCACTGAGCGCCGACCGGCCGCTCAGTGGTCCTGTACGAAGCTGCAATTTTAAAAACGTGAATTTTTTGGAAGTATCGGTAATTTCTGAACTCAGCGACCCTCAAGAGTCCCTAATAATGCATTTTGCTCAGTTTGAACATTCAATCTGATCTAATAACAGTCAAATCCGACTCTTTTGCGCGCGAAAATCGGTCGGCGCGCGTTGAGCGGAAACTTCAATCGATCATAACTCCGGAACCGTTTGGTTCCCCAGCTTAATGGACCACTCGTTGGATGCGGAAAAAGACGAACAATTTAAAAAACTGGTTTTGGTTCAAGTAAAAATTTGAGATCTTTGAAAATTTTTCGTTTAAAAGAAATTTTCTAGACCTAAAAACTGGAAAAAAGCACATATGTTGACTTAAAAATGTGATATCGGGATTTCGACCTTTAGAATCTTAAAGTATGCAATTTTAGACGATTTTTCGTCCAAACCGGACTTCGATATCTTTCTTCGTCCAAGAGATATCGAGGTTCACAGGTTTTGACTTCCACCCCCCCTAGCTCCCCCCCAAAATTTTTTGGGGGTCTGAAAATTTGGGAAAAGAAGCGCTCAAGTATGAGTAATCAATAGACAAAGTCTGAAGAACTTCCAGAGGGGGGGCGAAAAAAGCCGTTTTTGCATCAAGCTCTTTCACTATGCCGATGGACAATATTGCGATTTGTTGAAACAACGTGTGAACTGCTTGCAAATTGCCGGCGATTGCTAATTGCCTGCGACATATACGTACCTTGACATGGGCACGTTTTTTAACACAAATTTGTCGAAACTTCTTGTTCTTATGTCATTTAATTTTTTGTTAAAAATTCAAACAGCGAATTTGTAAGCCGTGTCGACCCAGGTCACAACTTGAGGAGATACATTAAAAATGATAATTTTTACCATTTTCAGAGGGGCGATTTGGCTTCTGTCTCTTCTGTCACTTTCAGTCGCGCAAGAGGGAAATGTGAACATCAAAGCTGTAACTTACCCGGTCTGTCATGCAGAGACTCCACATTACGACAGCTCCACCGATAACCTCATTTTCATAGATTTATGTGGAAAGAAATTTTGCATTCATAACCTTCTGAATGAAGAAACTCACTGCACATGTTGTCTAGGTACTTTTCATCAATGTCTCACTGTTTCTTTTTGAAATAAAGAAAAATTCATGGGTACCAGGCATGTTGCTGAAATACCGGTCCCTCTTCATGTTTCGCAAAATGTAAAAATTGTAACTTTCTTCTATTTTGTGTGTTTAAGTACACTGGAAAAAAAACCATATTGGATCTAGAGTCCAGACTCTTGAAAACATTGACAAGAAAACGGATTCTTGATTCAATCAGATTTAAGCTATCAAAAGGATCTAATCAAAAGGAAATCCGCTCAAATTAAGAGGCTTGGTTCTTGATTTAAGCTTAAATCTGATTGAATCAAGAGTCCTTTTTCTTGTCAATGTTTTTAAGAGTCTGGAATCTAGATCCGATGTGTTTTTTTCCAGTGTGTGGGTTGCATACTATAGCACCTGTAAAATGTGAAATAGTTCTCAGCCTCGGGTGATTTCAAGAAATATCTCACTAAAATTTTCAATCTTTCATTTCGCTCTTACGTTTCATGCCAACCTGGCTAAATGTCAGACAGTGCAGTAATAATCCAAAAGTACATTTTTTTCAAGTTATCATGACATAAAGGGTTAAACTTAACTGTGGGTTTCAAGACATTGGAGGAGTTTTTCTCTCGAAATCTTAAATATAAATTTTTCGATGCAACTCGGAATAAATCGCACCACCTACTCTGCTATGCAAAGAAAAAACGCAATAGGAGCCTTCAAACGTTGCCATACGTCCTACACTAAGAAAATAATTTACTAGAAAAATTGTGAATATTCCTTTTTAATTTATTCAGACAAATTTATTCGTAATTTTATCTAAAATGTCAGAAATGTTTCAAGGAAAAATACGCATATTTTTCCTCCAGAATATATGTTTTATCCGGGCTGATTTGTTAACCTCAGATGTTTATACGACGCTCTTCCTCATCACGGCTGCACTGAAAATGTTGCCTCTGTGAGCACTAAAGTAGCTTCCTCTTAAGTACACTTCTTAAATCGACCTCCATGATCGTTTACCAATAACATTGAGGCAATGATCCTGTGGGCCGTATTTAGGAGAAAGGAACCAGCCACGTCACACTGGAAAAAAAAAACACATTGGATCTAGAGTCCAGACTCTCGAAAATATTGACAAGAAAAAGGACTATTGATTCAATCAGATTTCAGCTTAAATCAAAAGGAAACCCGCTCAAATTAAGAGGCTTGGTACTTGATTTAAGCTTAAATCTGATTGAATCAAGAGTATTTTTTCTCGTCGATGTTTTTAAGAGTCTGGACTCTAGATCCAATGTGTTTTTTCCAGTGCAGCTATCATAAACTGGGCAATTTAATTTTTAACATGAGGACGTTTGTGCAGATTTATTTGAAAATTTTAATGAATTTGCTTCGTGCTATGTAGAAAATTCACTGAAATTTGCACGGAAATTCGCACAACCGTTTTCACGTAAAAAATTAAATTTGACAATAGCTGATGTGGCTTGGTTCCTTTCTGCTTAACGCGGTCCATATAAGCAACGCTTATTTTCTCAGAATCAGTGTCAGGTCCGATATTTCCCATCCAAAATACAAGAAACGAGTACTTAGCCGCGGTAGGGCCGTACCTGACGAGGATGTATTGGGATGGTCGCAATAACTCCCGGCCAGACTTCGTTATCATCGGCCGCTTCGATTCGGATGCTGCCCCTGGAACCGAGCTAAGCGACGGGAAAGTGGACTGCAAAGGACAATTATTCGTGAGTGAGTCGTTTTTCAAACGAATATAATGGAGATGTTGCATGTGTGAGGAATTTGCGATTTGACTGTTGATTCTTCCGTAAAACTTCGCGAGAAACACGATGGTGCCACTGGTTTTCTTTGAAATCAACTCCCAAGCTAAAAAAAAGCTCTCAAGCTGAGGCCAAAATGGAGGGGATATCCCACCCATGTCTGAATTCAAAATAGCCATCTCAAAGAAGATATGTATCTTCTAATGGCTTTAGGTATATGTCGAAGGCAATTAGTCAAATCAGGCATTTTATCAAATGGCTAGGCCGGTAGTCAAACATTGTCAGTTTACGGGATTCTGTAAATTTATGGCAAGGAGTTCACGGGTTTTCAATATTTTGGGAAGAATAACTCTTAAAATCCGCGAACTCTTCTTGTCCCTTCCTTTTAACATGCCTTTAGCACATTTATATTTTAAGATTTTGAATGTTCTATGTTTTATGATGTGATGAAAATTTCATGATGAATGTGCATCCAGGATCTTAAAATCGTTTAAAATACAACTGTATGCTGCATATTTTTACAGAGAATGGAGATGTTGCATGTGTGTGGAATTTGCGATTTGACTGTTGATTCTTATGTAAAAGTTCGTGAGAAACACGATGGTGCCACTGGTTATCTCTGAAATCAACTCCCAAGCTGAAAAAAAGCTCTCAAGCTGAGGCCAAAATGGAGGGGATATCCCACCCCACCCTGAAAGGCCACGTCTACACCAAGACAAACTTTCCATGCAAAGATAGGGAGCAAATACATTAGCAGGGTTGCCGTGTTTTCAGTTTTGGAGTCCCCAAATAAAGTGGCAACCCTGTCAATGTATTTGCTCCCTATCTTTGCATGGGGAGTTTGTTTTGATGTAGAGGTAGACTCTCAGGGTAGGGTGGGATATCTCCTCCATTTTGGCCTCAACTTGAGAGCTTTTTTTGAGTTTGGGAGTTGATTTCAGAGAAAACCAGTGGCACCATCGTGTTTCTCACAAAATTTTATATCAAAATTAACAGTTAAATCGCAAATTTCTCACACATCGACGGTGAAACTACCAAACCACGTATCTCGGTTTGCGACGTCGCAGACTTCCTGTCATACTTTATTTTTTAAATGAAAAACTACTTAACATCCAGTCTTGAAAATTTCTGTGATTTTTCCTCTTTGTGCAGAGAAAATGCCGTGAAAATTTCAAGGAATGATATTGATTTGGTCTACTTCAAAAAAATAAAATGTGAGCGTAGATTTTTAAACACCGCAAACGAGATAAGTGGTTTGGTAGTTTCACCGTCGACATGCAACATCTCCATGCTCCTAATGAAAATAACATTCTGCTTCTAAAACTTAAATAATACTGGGTATCTGTGTTTAAAAGGCAGTTCAAATGAATCTACCTTGGTCGGTGGAGAGAAAAGGTACGAATTTAAGAATTTTGATACAAATTTCTTACCCCGTTCACTGCCAAATTTTTCAGAGGACATCAAAAATTTTCCGAGTGCTGATTCTAACTAAGCTAATTTTTTAAAAAAAATTTAAGTCCTCTCCAATGAAAAACGGACCAGTGGATACCCCAATATATGAAGTGTTCATTGTAGTGGACAATAGCAGCCAATGAAATTGCCTTTGACTCCATAAATGACAGGGCCGTGCCAAAGAATCGAATCACCGTCATAATGAGTGATCGCATCCATGTAACAGTATTGTATTTTATGCCTATTATCATTTTACTTAAATCAAGATAGTAACTAAAATTACCTTTGCTTTTGTTTTTGATCGGTTTGCCAGACACTCGTGGGAAGTTAAAAGCCGGCGGCATACCGGTGATAAGAGACCAAGCTAGCTTGTTTCACTACTCAAAACGAACCTGCTCTTTGGAGAAAATCCTGGATGAGGATAAATCATTTTACAATGGCCTTGCATGGAACATAGCCTATACTCGGTTCTTCATGGTGGAAACTGATGAAAAGAGAGTGTACAGTTTTGACTATGATGCTGACTTAGGAAGTATTAGTGAGTGAACTCTACTGTAACAAGTATGTTGAATGACCGGTTTTCCCAAAAGCAGATCAAAGCTTCGAACCTGAATTTATATCGTTAGTGCCTTAAAATCAGATCCGCACTTGGTGAATACCTAAGCGGACTACAGAGCACAGGGCCGGATTAAGGGGGTGGCCACATGGGCCGCGGCCCATGGCGGCAAATTTAAGGGGCGGCAAATTTAAGGGGCGGCAAATTTTGCAATTTTTTTAAATGTAGGTATAAAAAAAATCGGATTTTGGAAAAAAATTACAAACGAAAAAGGCGACAAAATCTCTCATTTCCTGAGAGTATAGTAATTTCTAATTTTGTCGTCGTTCAGTGGTACAAGTGACAGATCAAAAGTCATTAAATTTCACCCGGAACCACCTTAATATTTACAACACACACATTATATTTTCCTTTACATATTTTTTTCATCGATTTAAATGAGAATAATCCACGCAGAGTGTGCAAAAATTTCAAAATCACGAGTTGAAAAATGCTGACTCCGCGAGTTTAAATATTAGAGCCGAACACAGAGCGAAGCGGCCTACAAACCTAAGTGGATACTTCACGCGTTGTGCAATGCTTGAAGTATCCACTTAGGTTTGTAGGCGCCAATGCTGGTTGCGCGTCGAACGCCCTCTCGCCGCGCCGCGCCGCAACGAGCCACGGCGCCAACTATTCACAACAACTATTCACGGCGGCAACTATTTCACAACAGAGGTTTTGCACAGTATCATACGAAATTGAAGGCGCTCCACCATGTTAAGGATGACAGGCATCCCTTAAGAGCACGGAGCTTTCCTCGCAAAATAAAGCAAGATATTCCGACACAAAAAGAGAGCGGTAATCCAAAAACTCAGTAAGTGAGAGCATTCGTATTTAATGACGTTTAGCATAATTTTTTAATGTCATTAGAGGAGAAAGTGACTCAATATAGGCAGAGACATTCTTGAGTATGCAGTCAAGAAGATTTGATTTTAAATCAAGAAGAAAGTAGTTGAATGAAAGCGGGTTTCTGTTTGATGTAAGTGACTTTCCTTCTTATGTAAGCATCTTTTCTTCTCTAAACAAGCATTATTTTCTTTATTGATTCAGGAGAAAATTCTCTCGGAGGTAAATTCGAGCTTATTTCTGCTTGAATCAGGTCATTTTTTCCTCTAATGAAGTTCAAAGTCATTCTAAACGTTATTGAATACAGATACTGGGACTTACATGTATTCACATTTGGACTTATTAACTTTGGGTCTGGTAAGTGGACCAAAACTCCCCTGCCGAAAAAACGCGTGGACGTAAACTACTAGAAAAAACAGGTGCGTGGACAAAAAATCGTTGTCGAAATGTCCTATAACCCCCCGTGGGAACGAAAGTTTATGCTGGCATGAAATTTGGATGATTTCACTTTTTTGGGGTAAGCTCACTTAACAAGAAGACAAAATTTGGAAATTAAACCTCATTATTTCTTATCAAACGAATCCGGATTTCAATCCAAAATTCCTGACTGCTTGTTTCGTTTTTTCAGGCAACAGGGAAGTTTTGGTCGATTTCAAAGCAAGCAATAGTTGTCAACCGGATGGAATGACCATTGACTGTAGTAACAACTTATGGATAGCCTGTTTTTCGTTTGGTTCTGTAAGTAGAATTTATTTTTGATCGTTGGTGACACGGTGGTTGTAAAAATCTATATCTGTGCGTATCATGACTGATTAATGTCTTCTGTTGGTTTTGCTGTACTTTAATCAATAATATGAATATGACAAGTAACTAAAGACTTTTTGGTAGCATTTACGATACTAGGATCCAATTAACCATACTTCATTTAAGACTTCCGAGGAGTCTGATTACCTTCAGCCGCCAGTATCACTTTCTCAAAAATAGTATATACCTATACTGAGGAATCTAGTGTACTTTTTTTAATGCTAGTTTACGTGTAAAAAAAACTCTCTTAAATGGATTTTAACTCACATTTAACTCATAATAATATCTTTTAAAAAAAGAAGAAAAAAATATATATTCAGAGAGCAGTATTCTGTTCAAATTTCAAGCTCTGAAGTTGAGCTTGATTCACCTTGAAAAATAAAGTTGAAGTGGAAATTTTGCAACTATGGAATGGAGATACGTGGTTCCGCACTTCAACTATCAATATGTAATCAGGGGCCTAGTCTGTCGTGCTAAGGAAAAACGCCGTATGAAACTTCAGGCGTTGCCAAAGTTCCTTTGATTAAACTTTAATTTTCTGGAAAACTTATGAATATTTTCACGCCAATCTTTCAAATAATTTAGTTCTAAATTTGATCAAAATAGTCTGAAATTGTCAAGGCTAAATATCCATAACTGTCTTCTAAAATAAACATTTAATTGAGGGGAATTTGGCAAATCTCGACACATTGGATCTAGAGTCCAGACTCTTAAAAAGCATCGACAAGAAAAAATACTCTTGATTTAATCAGATTTAAGCTTAAATCAAGAACCAAGCCTCCTAATTTGAGCGGATTTCCTTTTGATTTAAGCTTATATATTTGCTTGAATCAAGAGTCCTTTTTCTTGTCAATGTTTTCAAGAGTCTGGACTCAAGATCCAATGTGTTTTTTTTTCCAGTGTAGCATTCTTTTCTTCCGTTCATTCTGAAAGTTCACCTGGTTTGCAGGTAGTACAAGTGAACACCGAGTCGGGCTCGATACTCCAGACCCTGCATATGCCAGTAACAGACATAACATCCGTCACATGGGGTGACAAGGACTTGACAACCCTCTTCGTTACGACATCCAAGTGCGGGCTCTCGGAGAAACAGCGACGAGAACAGCCATTGGCTGGTTCGGTCTTCGCTGTCACAGGGCTGGGATTCAGGGGTGCTCCAGCGAACAGCGTCGATATCTGTACCGTTGGATGTCTAATGGATGAATTACCGTGCCCTGATTGCGGCGATAACGCAACCGAAATCCCCAATACCCCACCGGACGAGTTTGATACTGGAACTTGCTCCGCAAATGTTTTAACCTCCGCGGAAAATTACTGCTGGGTTTAAGGTCAATCTCCTGTGTTAAGCTCCGCAAAAAATCAACCACGCTGCGCTGCTAAAATGTGATTTTGGAACTAACGGTTAAGGTGATCTGATGGACGCCATATTTTGATTCAGAACGACATGCGATAAATCGCATCGATTGCTTCAATTTTTTCAGTTACTCGTCATTTTTTTCGAATTTTGGGATCGCAATTCTGTTGACAGGAGGCTAAAGAATTCATTTACCGAATTTGCCAGACAAATTCAACGTCATAAAGGCGTGGTTTTTATAGAGGAAAAATATGGCATTCGATGTTGAATCGAAACTGCACTTGAATGCGATAGTTTCCCTTTGAAAAAACCACACCTTTATTACGCTGAATTCGTTTGTCGAAATTGGGAAGTGAATTCTTTGGTCTCCTGACAGCAGAATTGCGATCTAAGAATTCGTTAACATGACGAGTTGCTGAAAAAATGGAATCAATCTTTCAAAGTGTCACACAACCAAAATGATACAATGTAATTGTAAACTGGACGTATTTCTACCAAAGAGACCTATGTGGCGATGAGAAATGTGGGGTGTGCTCGTGGAAGCTGGATAAGAAGCAATGTGGTCAGTGGGCGTGGTTCCTTTTGAAGAATTGGAAAAGCGGGATATTGCATTCTATCAAAGAGACCTATGTGCAGCTGAGTGCGGAACTCATGAGCCGCGGGCATGGCAAGAAAGCGTTGTGGACAGGGCTCATGAGTTAATGAGCACGACTACCGCAACCACGAGGAACGTGACGCGGCGTCCTCCTCCGTTGACGTCACTGGCGCACAATTATTCTCATTCACTCGCCACGCAAAGAGACTAACGAGCACACCCCATATTTCTCACTTCCACATAGGTCTCTTTGGTAGAACTACGTCCAACTAATAGATATAGGCCGTCAATAAAGTTAACATAAAAAGTTATGAACAGTTTATGCTTGCAATTTTTATTATTAAAAAGCCAAAAATTGTGCACACTCCTAGAATCAGGAATGATTACGGATGTGGCTCGTAAAAAGTACCTGACAACAATCTTGCCGTGTTAAGGAAAAACGCCGCATGAGCCTCCGAAAGTTGCCAAATGTCCTTTAACAAATCGCAAATTTTCAGGACAGATTATGAATATTTATTTTACAATTTTACGGAGAATTCCGTTCTCAATTTGATCTAAAACGTCTGAAACGTCAAGGAAAAATAATTATAGCTTTCCTCAAAAATAAATATTTTGTCGGGAGAAATTTGACAGCGTTTTTCCATAGCACGACAGAATTAGTAATGGCACCTACCTACTGATCAGTCTTCCTTCGATTTAAAGTCCATGCAATGGGCTGTGCTGTAGGCACTGCTCGAGAAAAGTTATTTGGATCCTCATTCATTATCGTTTAAAAACGCCTTCAAATTCACACAATGCAATTTATCTTTCATTTAAACGATTGCTCCTGTCGTCTGGGTGAGGGGCTGTTTATGGGATGATGGAGTCCCGCACAGATGATCTTTTCAAATTTTCAATTGCTCTAGGTAATACATTTTTGATGCATCAGGGAGTTCTCTTGTTTCGAGACTTGCAAAATTTCTTTGCATTGTCTGCTTTTTTAGTTACCTCAAAAGCGTTTAAAAATCTGCGATTCCTGCTATTCTTTTAAAAGGCTTACACTGCACTTGGTTATCTACAAATATAATACAAGAACAAAGATTTAATTAGATGGATTGGCAGGGATCAAAAACATAATAAAAAATGAAACAAAAAAAAAACAAAAAAATAAGAAATGAAAAGATTCTGAATCGGACAAGACTAGAGAAGACAGTTCAGAATATTAACATTGAAAATCAGACAGATACCTAAAGATTTTTAAGTAGAGTGAGCGAAGAGATTTTTTTTTCCAGAATTATCCAACTAACGGTCAGAGCAAACCGAACTTGAGTGTTAGTGAAGTTTGTGAACTTGAGTGCGTTCACTAACGAAAGAAATATTTCCTAATTTTCAAGTAAATCGGTTTTTTTTAAATACTTTTATGCCGATACATTATAAAGTTCAGCTTAGAGTGAAATATGTTGAAAATATTAAAATATGTTATGGCCGCGTTGCTAGAAAAATAATGTAAAAAGTTCAAAAACTGCATCGTGTAACCGAACCTGGTTCGTAACTAAACTATCACTCCGACAAAACGACATTCTACATTGTGCATTGTGTTGCACCTGAATTTTTTGAGTGATAACAGCTAATGTTATAACAATTCAGTTAAGACCTTGGCTACTTGTTTAGACAGTGCCTCTTATCAGAAAGTGGGTCAGACATGAAAATATTAAGACAAAAACAGGGAAAACTTGAAAATAATTTGCATGGTGACATAATTTTCTCCGGCGTTTTACTGAGGCAACCAATTTCTCCTATTCTACATCAAGAGACGCTATTCCAATTGTAGGCAAAAAATAAGTATGCCCACTTGATCCTTGCCACCAAGTCCTTCAATACATTCATCTAATTCTAAAAGTGACATTGTATTAATTTTTCAGTGCAATGAGCCCAGCCAAAAAGGAAGTCGTGCGAAGAGGCTGAACTTTAGTTATCAAATTGGGCGTAAACGTTAATTTTTCAGAGGGGCTGGCTGATTAGCGTTTTACGGGAAACTAATATATTTTGTGTCGGTGCCCTTCTCCCCGCGTCAAACTTAATGACTCTAATCATGCGTGCTGTTCTGTGAGTTTTAGTAAAATGATATTTTTTTCTAAGGAACCTTCTCCCGGGAGTACTAAAGTATCATGTAAATTTTAAAGGGAGAGTGTGATACATTCACAGTCTATTAAAATCGCACCTCTGCGAATGCTTCTAAACCCCTTTCCTATACTGCCATGCTAAGGAAGAGCAGCGTATGAACTTCAGACGTTGTCTTTCCTTTCACCGAAAAAAATAATATGCTGTTTTAGCACCTAGGATGTCAAAAATGTGTCTGGTGATCAGAAGTTGTTGTCTTTACTGCCTCCGCAGTTAACTTTACATCCTGTGAATGCAAATTTAACTGTGTAAGCAGTTAAGGCAGCATCTTGGGATCACCAGACACATTTTTGACATCCTAGGTGCTAAAACAGCATATTATTTTTTTCGGTGTTGATAAAACACGAATTTTCGGAAAAATTTGTAGATATTTTTCCTCTAATTTTTCAGGTAATTTTGTTTGCAATTTTATCTGAAGTTCTTGAAAATGTATCAGAAAAATATTCATATAACTTTCCTCAAAAATAAACATTTTATCGCAAGAAATTTGGCAACTCTCGAATGTTCATACGGCGTTTTTCCTTAGCACGGTAGTATACAGAGTGATCCAGGGTTAAACGACCGGACTGCAGGAGCCGAAACACCCCCCAAACCCCTTTCTTTAAATTGAGATTTAGATTTTTTTTAGATTATTCATGAATTCAGGGCATAAAAGTACTAGGGAGTTCACATTTTCATGAGATTTTGTTCACAACCGTTGCCAAAATTCATGAATTTTTTTTTTTTTTTTTTTTTTTTTTTTTTTTTTTTTTCCAGTGCGATATTGTGAACCTTTCTAGCTCCCACTGAAACTTGCGAGAAGTTACATGATTATTTTTGCCATTTTCAGAGCCGTGGCTGGGCTGCTACCCCTCCTGTCTCTATCAGTCGCATCAGAGGGGAGTGTAAAAATCGAGGCTGTGACAGGGCAGGTCTGTCACGCGGAGTCTCCCCATTACGACAGCTACAGCCAAAACCTCATTTTTATCGACTTATTTGGGAATAAATTTTGCATCTACAACCTCCCTAGTAAAGAGACCCACTGTACATGTTGCCTAGGTAATTTTTAGCAATTTTTTAATCGTTATATTTGAAATTCAGGAATATGTGTATTGAGGAATATAACGGTTTATTAAGGTGATTCGATGGACGCCATATTTTGTGTCAAAACGGCATTTCTCCAATTTTGAGATCGCAATTCTGATGTTGTCAGGAGACAAAAGCACTCACTTACCAATTTTAATAAAGAAATTCAACGTAATTAAGGCGTGGTTTTTTTTAGAGAGAAAATATCGCATTCGAGTGCAGTTTCGATACCAGTGTCGAATGCGATGTTTTCTCTCTAAACAAAACCACGCCTTTATTAGGTTGAATTTCTTTGTTAAAATTGATAAGTGAGTGCTTTAGACTCCTGACAACAGAAGTGCGATCTCAAAATAGGAGAAAAATGACGAGTGGCTGAAAAAATGGAACCAATTGATGCGATATATCGCATGCCGTTTTGACACAAAACATGGCGTCCATCGAATCACCTTAAGTTTGTTACCGGATTGAAGGTGGTGCATAAGGAAAACCTGAAGCAAGTGTCATCACAACAAGGGTGCTACAACACTGCTATTAAAAATTGAGGAGTGACATTCTGTGGCAGAGTCTATATAGCGCCCAAAACCTCAGTGTGATATGAATGCGAAGTGAAATTAGTACCATAAAAGCGTAAGACTCTCCGCAAAAAGAGTAGTTTAATAGTGTAAGTTACGCCCTAAGGAGAATAGATTCCGCTCCGCATTGGCGGATCCAGCGAATTGGCAACATTGTCATTCCTCCATTTAAACCTATGGAAATGTATCGATTCTTGGAGGGGCCAGGTGCGCCAACAAGAATCGATTATTTAGCATAGGTCTAAATGTAGAAAATCCGATGTTGCTAAATTGCTGGATCCGCCTCTGTCGCTCCGCATTCATGTCACTTGGGGTTATTGGGCGCTATTTACACTCCGGCACAGAATATCACCCCGAAATTTATAACAGTGAATGAGAGGAGAAAGAAAAATTAGGGAGAGGGAGAGAAAAATAAATGGAAGAAAAAGGAAAATAAGATTGAAATGAGAGAAAAAACAGGAAGAGCGGTTTCAAAGTTTATAGTACAAACTTGTGAATTCAATGCCACGAAGTTTACGAGTTGCCTCTTGAGATGGCGAGGAGAAAAATTTGGGTGAGTAAAGACTTTCTAGGCAACTCTGGAAATGGACTACTAGACAAGGTACGAATTTAAGCGATCTGATACATGTTTCTTAACCAGAATTTCACGTAGAAAACGATTCACACAACGAAAATTACGGAAACCAACTCCTAACGAAGATATTAACGTTTTTATTTCACATTGGTTACGAGGAATTTGAACTGCCCGCTGACATGCCTTTAGCATGCCTTTAGCACATTTACATTTTAAGATTTTGAATGTTCTATGTTTTATGTTTTATGATGTGATGAAAATTTCATGATGAATGTGCATTCAGGATCTTAAAATCGTGTAAAATACAACTGTATGCTGCATATTTTTACAGAGAATGGAGAAGTTGCATATGTGAGGAATTTGCAATTTGACTATATTGATTCTTTTGTAAAAGTTCGCGAGGAACACGATGTGGCCACTGGTTTTCTCTGAAATCATCTCCCAAGCTCAAAAAAAGCTCTCAAGTTGAGGCCAAAATGGAGGGGATATCCCACGCTATCCTGAGAGTCCACCTCTACATCAAAACGAACTCTCCATGCAAAGATAGGGAGCAAATACATTAGCAAGGTTGCCGTGTTTTCAGTTTTGGAGTCCCCAAATAAAGTGACAGCCCTGTCAATGTATATGCTCCCTATCTTTGCATGGAGAGTTCGATTTGATGTAGAGGTGGACTCTCAGGATAGCAAGGGATATCCCCTTCATTTTGGCCTCAACATGAGAGCTTTTTTTGAGCTTGAGAGTTGATTTCAGAGAAAACTAGTGGCACCATCGTGTTTCTTGCGAACTTTTACGGAAGAATCAACAGTCAAATCGCAAATTCCTCACACATGCAACATCTCCATTCTTCCTTACTGAAGCAACGAATTATTTTGTTTAAAATTAGGGTAAAAAATCAAAATTTCAATCTAAGTAAGAATATTTGACTGTCTGCTTAGGCATTTCACAAAATGCCTCATTAGACTACTTGTCTTCGACAGAGACATATTTTTTGGAATTCGAAGATTGTCAACAAAGTGAATAAAACGGGTTTTCTTGTTTTTCTCGCCTTCGCAATTTTGGTGCTTAGGTACGTTATTTGGGAAATAATCGGTTCAATTGAGATGCTAATCTTGTACGGTGCGCACTTGTTTCCAGAATTAGTGGCAGGTCCGATAGTGCCCATTAAAAATGCCACAAATCAGTACCTAGCCGCGTTAGGACCATACCTCACGAAGATGTATTGGGATGGTCGTAATAACACCCGGCCTGACTTCACCATCCTCGGCCGCTTCGACTCAAATGCTGCTCCGGGCACCGAAATAAGTGACGGGAAAGCCGACTGCAAGGGGCAGATTTTTTTTGGTGAGTGGTTTTTAGAAGTATGACGCAATAATATACGCGATGATAAGAATATTCAGTCTTCAAAGCTCGTGAACTGTCCTCCTACGCATTTTTTTTCAAAACGAATCTCCAGGAGGGTATAGATTCGATCGACATGAATCAATCGAAAAACCAAAATGTGAACCGAACGATGTGAATGATGTGATTCGATCGACACTGATTCGATCGAGAACCGTGAATGGGCCTGTTGCAAACTTTTGGTAGAGCAAAAATAAGAGTTGTTTCTTGTAGATAATGCCTCAAAAATCACGATGAGCACATCGGCAAACACTGAAATGCACTCATAACTTCACAATCTGCGTGAGAAATTTGCGTTTTTTTAAGCTTCCCGCTTCAAAAACGATACTACGGCACAGGTGAACATTTTGTTAGAGGAGTCGCTCCATCGTCGCCAATATTCATCATGGCCGACGCTTGCTCGCAGTTCCGTGCGTGATTCGAGGAGAGTTCAAGGTCAATCAATTCGGGCGTGGAAAATATGAACGTTAACACACCGATTGTTATCCGGTCTAATCCAGTTCAGGTGTTATATCTCGACCCATCAAACGTGTTTCGGCGGATTGGCGTCGGCCATGATGATTATTGCCGACGATGGAACGACTCCTCTTACAAAATGTTCACCTGTGCCGTAGTATCGTTTTTGAAGCGGGAAAAGTTATGAGTGCATTTCAGACTTTGCCGATGCGCTCATCGTGATTTTTGAGGCATTATCTATAAGAAACAACTCTTAGTTTTGCTCTAGCAAAAGTTTGCAACAGGCCCATTGATCGACAAATCCTAACTCATCTACCCGTACTAGCGGCTAGATGGTATGGTATGGATTCGATCGACATGCATGAATCGAGTGACGTGAATAGGTTGATATGAATCTATCGAAAAACCAAAACGTGAATCAATCGACAAACCCGTGAGTCTATCGAAAAAATCCGTGAGTCGATCGACAGACCCGTGAATCGATCGACAAATCTATGAGTCGATCGACAAACCCGTGAATCGAGCGAATTTTGTCGATAGAATCGGTGTCGAGTCACGTCGATTGGTTTTCGTTTTTCCATCGGTTCACGTTTTCTTTCTTCGATCGACCCGTGTCGATCGAATCGATACCGGGTTTTTTTTTTTTTTTTTTTTTTTTTTTTTTTTTTTTTTAAATTAATTGTCGACTGAATCACGTTGCTTGGTTCACGTTTTTATTTTTCGAGCGATTCATGTCCATCGAATCGACAGAGGTTTTTTTTAATAATTTCGAATCCGCTTCAATCGATTCACGTCGATCGATTCACATTTTCACTTTTCAATCGATCTATGTCGATCGAATCCATACCCTCCGAATCTCCCGTGGTTGGTAGCAAGACGTTTTGATGGCTCCCTTACGATGAGGTCTTTGAGGTTCGTCGGAGTTTGCACCTGATATTGTAACCTTCAAATCACAAGAAAATAATCTTTGAAGTTAAAAGTCAAGTAAAGATACGTCTTCGGTTTATTTCTTTCTTGTTCTTTAATTTTGTCATCGTTTTTAAGGTGTAAACGGTGAACATGACGGCGACGTCAAACATCCCGCGAAGACAGACAGATCAGAGGCGGATCCAGCAATTTGGCAACACCGGACTTCCTCCATTCAAATCTATGCTAAATAATCGATTCTTGTCGGAGCACCTGGCCCTTCCAAGGATCGATATATTTCCATAGGCCTAAATGGAGAAAATACACTGTTGTCAATTTGCTGGATCCGCCAATGGACAAGATTCACGAACACGCAAATATATCAGGTAGCAATACTTCATGACTAAAAATTATTCTTTCGAACCTTTAAATAAATTACATGTTTTGATTCGTACTGGCAGGAAACCTATTTTATTTCTGAAAGGATTGAGTACTTTCATTTTGTATTCTTCATTGGTTTTTTAGATCTTCGTGGGAAGCTAGGACCCGGTGGTGTAACAGTGATAAAGAACCAAGCTAGTTTGTTTCACTACTCAAAACGAACTTGTACTTTGGAGTTAAATCTGGACAAGGATAAATCATTTTACAATGGTCTGGCGTGGAACACCGACTATTCCCGGTTCTTCATAGTAGAGTCGGATGATAAAACAGTGTATGGTTTTGACTATGATGTTAACTCGGGGAATATTAGTGAGTACCAAAAGCATACTGCTATCAGTTATTCTATCCATCAACAGCTCGAAAGTACTTGCAACACTTTTTTATGAGATCAACAATTTTGCCAGAATGACATTTGGATTACATTTTGCTTCTATTCTTTGCAAAACATTACCGAAATCATGCAAAAAAATTGATTTACAAAAATAATTTTTGTCTTTAGTTCCTAGTTTATTGGGGGTGAAGGTAAAACTTGTTTAGAAGACCAGTTTACATTTGCAAGGTAAAAAAGGTTGCAAAATCTGAGCGACGTTGGAATGCTCTTGGTTCCTTTTTGCAAAAAGCAAACCATTTCATGGTTTATGTGTTACACACTGGAAAAAAACACATTGGATCTAGAGTCCAGACTCTTGAAAACATTGACAAGAAAAATGACTCTTGATACAATCAGATTTAAGCTTAAATCAAGAGGAAATCTGCTCAAATTAAGAAGCTTGGTTCTTGATATAAGCTTAAATCTGATTGAATCAAGAGTCCTTTTTCTTGTCGATGTTTTTAAGAGTCTGGACTCTAGATCCAATGTTTTTTTTTTTCCAGTGCAATCTGGGTCATACTTTTTGAGTATCCAAAATAGGGCTTANGGGGGGGGGGGGGGGGGCAGCAGAAGGTCCAAGTACAGAGCAATTATTGGGATTGTTCTAAAAAAATAGAAATTACATTCAAAACTTGCAGGATCTAAAACAATTGGATTTCATATCAGTGTTATTTTCATTGTAAATTCCTTTAATAATTTTTTGCAACAACAAATAGTCTCAGAAGTCCCCATATCCCTCAGGAATCCCACTTTTAGAGTGTAATTGGGGTAAACTTAAATCTCTATAGCGCATTAGAGAGCTGAAAATATTGAAATTTTGGAATTTTTTACAAATGTTCTATATCTATTCTAAGAAATGGGTAAACTTACTCTCTGGACGGCCCTCATACGATACACTTTAAATCGCTATTTCTATAAGAATGCCATCATTCTCAGTGGGCGGGATGTATTATTTTTTCAGGCAATAGGACAGTTTTGATCGACTTCAAAGCAACCAACAGTTGTGCACCGGATGGTATGACCATTGACTGTAGTGACAACCTGTGGATAGCCTGTTTTAAATTTGGTTACGTAAGTGAAAATAATATGATCGACGTATAATAGGTTTGTTTTTCATCCTCTGCTGACTCCACGAGTTTAAATCTGAGAGCCTGACACAGAGCGGAGTGGCATGCTGCCAGCGCGAAACGCGCACTGGCGACTACAAACCTAAAGGGATACTTCACGCATTGCGCAATGCTTGAAGTATCCACTTAGGTTTGTAGGCGCTGGCCAACCGGCCACAGCGCCGCAGCATGCCACGGCGCCTGAAGCAACTATTTCACAATAGAGGTGTTGCAGAGTATCATACGAGATTAAAGGCGCTCCCACATATGAAGAATGACAGGCATCTTTTAAGAGTTTAGAGCTTTCCTCGCCAAATAAATCAAGATGCTACGGCACAAAAAGAGAGTAGTAGTCCGGAAACTCCCTAAATCCTAGCATCCACATTTAATAATATTTAGCATAATTTTTGAAGTTCACTAGAAAATAATCAATTAGCGACTCAATTTAGGCATAAACATTCTTGAGTATGCCGATTTTAGTGGTTTTTACGGATTTTAAACTATAAATGTGGAAACCTTTTTTCAAAACATTCCCACATTTCCTCTGACTGGATGAGACCCAATGAAAAGTTGTGGAAAGATGATGCAAAATAAGGAAGGACCCAGGAAATTTCATTTAATTTTTTTTATCATCCTTCCACAACTCATGCTTTTTTCACGTCTCCTCCATGATTTTAGTGGTTTTTACGGATTTTAACCTGAAATTGTCGAACCCTTTCCAAATTTCCTCTAACATAGATGAAAGTCAATTGAAAGTTGTGGAAAGATAATGAAAAAATTTGGTAGGACCCAAAAATTGCCCTATGTTTCTCATCCTCACACAACTTTTGTCATTTTTTTGCGTGTCTTTTTCACACTTTTACAGATTTCAGCCTGAAACCTTTCCATAATTTTCTCACTGACTAAAAAACATCGATAGTTGATAGAAGAGGCTACTATATAATGTTGAAAAATGTCGTAGAAAATTATGACATCTTCAACATATTTTTACGATTTGCGCTTCCACATTTTGAGACCTTTCCACGTCTACAAGACTTTAACCAATTTCAATTTGTCTCTCATGTACTTCATGCAACTTTCAAGTGATAATCTGTGAGATCTTTGAATGAACGCAACTGATAAGATGAAATTAGCTCAAGGCAGCGTTGTAATGTTAGGAAGACAGCATTTCAAGAGCCATATCCGCTCTTAGTACACCCGTGCAACGCAAGTTTTATTTGCTTTTGGATCATATCAATACAATACGCACTAAAATGCGTAAAACTCGTTATTTCAGGCATCAATTTTTTTGGCAAGACATTTCCTGATAATATGGGAAGTAGAGTGCGAAGTTAGCCAAATGTGCGGTCAATATTTTTCGGCTAGTTTTTCTTTGGGTTATTACATACACCAAATGTTTGGTTAAAAATGCGCAACCTCGTCCAAAACCAGCTGATGGCTGGTTTGAACCTGCATTGCATTGATGGCTATCCAAAGCGCTAGCCACCCACAAATCACAACCTCTTAAGTAACATAGAGAGGAACAAGAGGACATTTTAGTTCAGCAGGACACTTATTCCATCCCCAGATGTTTCAGAGTAACCTATACCTATGGTTCTGTTCGATTTAACCACTGGTCGATCAACCAAGTCCCTTAGGTTGATCTGACCGTAAAAAAGTAACTCCAAGTGATCAGAAACACAACAGTGGCGTGGCATGAATTGCGATGTATCGATTGTTATGCCATTAAACAGATGGTAAAGAATCGATTATTAAGGCGTTCGCTGCGAACACCCTGTTTATCGATCCTTCTCCATAGGTTTAAATGGCATAACGATCGATAAATCGCAATTCACTCCTCGCCACTGAAACACAAATATGTTTAACTGTGCATAAACAAAGATCCTTGCACTACTCTGCCGTGCTAAGGAAGAACGCCGTCTGAACATTCGAGAGTTGCCAAATTTCCGTTGATACAACATGTATTTTTGACGATATTTAATGCATATTCTTCCTTTGAAATTTTCAGATATTTTAAATTAAATTACAAACAAAATTGTCTGAAAATTTTGGAAACATTTTTTCACAATTTTCCCATTAAATTCAGTTTTTATCGAAGGAAACTTGGCAACGCCTGAGGGCTCGTTCGGCGTTTTTCCTTATTAGCACGGAAGCACTGCTCACCACCGCGCCACACCGCGGACGTAGCGGTGCGGAGCCTGCACAGTCAAAACGCCTTCTCTTCCGTGTGTATGCAATATGCACATCCGAAGAGCGCGAATAGTTGTATCCAGTTTCCAGGCGTTATAATGAAATTCGTTTAGTATCCGCCGCATACAGTAATAACTGAGGTCGATTTGCTTGTTTCTATTATATCTTAACTTAATTCCAACTGTAAACTTTCACTAATTTTTATCGTGGCACTATCAGTATTTCGAAAAATGTTTTGAGTGTTTAAATGGATGGCATTATGCAAAAAGGAACCAAGAACATTCCAATATTGCTAGGATTGTGCAACTTGCATCCTCCGCAATAAAATTACTGATGTCAAGCAAAAAATTTTTACAAAGGTAATTTCCATCTTGAATCTATAGTTTATTGGGAGTAAAGATAAAACTTGTTTAGATGATCAGTTTACATTTGTAAGGTAAAAAAAGTTGCACCATTTTAGCGACATTGGATGACTCTTGGTTCCTTTTTGCAAAACTCGATCCAAATATATTACACTTTCGCCCTCTTAATATTCAAAGTTGTATGGCGTTTTTCAAAAAGGAACCAAGAGAATTCAAGTGTTGCTAGGATTGTGCAACTTAGATTATTCATGAAAAATTTCTGAAATCACGCAAAAAATTAAATTCACAAAGGTAATTTTCGTCTTGAATTCATATTTTATCGGGGGTAGAGATAAGACCTGTTTAGATGACCACTTTTTATTTGCAACATGAAAGAAGTTCCACAATCTTAGCGACATTGTAATGCTCTTGGCTCCTTTTCGAAAATGCAATCCAGTTGTTTTCGCCGGATTCCCTAGTAGCAGAACAAATTTTTGTTTTTCTAAAAAAAAAGTATAAAAAAATATATCTGTTATCTAAATGGTAGTTTTATATAAAAATGTATAACGCTTTTATAAAAAAAGCATAATTTTGACCTGACCATCATATATGAAAAATGATAAAAGCTGGATACGGTAATTTTTTTTATAGACAATTTTTTTATAAAACGCATGCATGCGAAAGTGTTAAAAGTGAACATTTTTATGTAACTATTATAAAAAGAAAAGGTTATAATTTGCGTGAGCTTTTTGCGAATTAGAGGATTTTTTAGTATGTTTGCGAAAAGCTCACGAAAATTATGACTTTTTTTTATAATGGTGACATAAAAATGTTCACTTTTAACACTTTCCTATGCATGCATTATATAAAAAAAATTAAATTTCGTATATAATCTTTATCTTTTCCTCCTATGGTTCTGCTACTAGGGTTACTCCCTCCATCCTTCTTTGACTAAATAATTAACATTTTTCTCAGGTGCTTCAAGTGGACACCAACAACGGCTCAATACTGCAGACCCTACACATTCCAGCTACGGACGTGACGTCAGTAGCATGGGGCGGTGACTACTTTTCGACCCTATTCGTGACGACATCCAGGTACATGCTCTCAGAGGAGGAGCGGCAGAAGCAGCCATTGGCTGGTTCGGTCTTCGCCGTCACAGGGCTGAAATTCAAGGGGGTCCAATCGAACAGCGCCGAAATCTGCACCGTCGGATGTCGAGGGGACGGGTCTTGTCCGCCGTGCGACGGGAACCCTTCGGCAATCCCGAACGCCCCAGTGGAGGAGTTCGACACCGCGTCTTGCCCTGCAAAGGGTGCAATCTACGGGGGACATTACTGCCAAAGTGGTTGGGCCCAAGTAGCAAAATGAAAATATTTAATGGAAAAAAAAATAATGGAAAAAAAAAAAATTAATGAAAAAAATTGAGAAAATATCGAAAAAGTAGCTACACTGAAAAAAAAAACCTTGCTGAATTTGCCTTGTACGCGGGTATTTCATGGCATGGTGTAGCTAAAAAACGAACGTGCAAACCATGCAGGTAAAATCGCTACACAAATTTCAGCTAACTTACACACACGCGTGTAGGTGATTTTGCTCTCTGAAAAGCTACGTCTGTTACCTTTTCAGTTATTCTTCCGTAAATTTCGCTATTTCAGCCTAACTATTGAGCTATTTTTACTGTTCGCAAAGTACCAATAGCAAAAAATGCAGTTACACTTCCAAGCCACTCGATACAAGATTAACTGCATGAAGGCGCGCAGATGTAGCAAATCGGTGTAGCAATTCGTGCTAGTCGTTCACTAGATTCAACACCGTGCACGGATAAGATAGCTTTACGAAGTGAAGCAAATTTTGCTCCACCCTAAATTGGTGAATTAGCAATCCTTTTTTTTTTCAGTGTAGCATTATGGAAAGTAGACAGAAAATTTAAAGTGAGTGTCACTATTTACCCACGAAAATAGGTCTATTTCCTGTCTACAAAATGGATCTATTTTCCGTCTAGAAAATTGATAGGGCTATTTCCTTGAGAAAAAATATTCAAAAACCTGATGGAAAATAGAGAAAAATTGAATATTTTCTCTATCTATTTCTTAGAAATTTAAAATTCGGAAAACAGATAGAAAAAACTCAGAATTTATACAAAAAATTGTCTGTTTTCCTTGTATTTAGTGTCCGGAACATAGGCAGAAAATAGAAGTTTTTTAATCATTTTCTTACTTCTATTTGATGCATCTATTTTCTTTCCATTCTCTTTCTATTTTATTTTTCTGTCTAGGAAATAGACAAGTTCTAAATTAGTGCTAGACAGAAAATAGAACCCCATGCTACTTTAGGAAACTGATAAGTTGAAAATATTACCAATCTTGTCGGCATATTGCCATGAAAATATTTTTTCAAAAAGCATTTGTAAATATTTTCATTAAAAATAAAATAAAGAAGTAAAAAAAACATCAATAAAAAAAATTGGAAAACCTAACCTAATCTAACTGGATTGAATCAATCTAGTTGTACAAGCGGGATCAAAGTTCCTGCGTCGAATGGTCTCCCGCAACTGAGCATACACAGCTACGGCACACAGTGGGACGAAATGGGTAAAACCTCGGACATGGGGTGTTCTCATGTTTTGCATAAAGATGTGATGGAATGTGTTCCTAAGGATCCATATTATATGAATCTAGTGTTGGTTTGATGATTTTTTCAAATGCTTTTGCTCCCTGGACTCCTGAAGTTGACATTTTCTGTAACGGCCGATTTTGCTCTATTTTCTAAGGTCGGTTTCCATACCTGCCTCTTCGAGTGACGATAATTGACACAAATATGAATGCTTGGATCTTATTCTAGAGTGTATGAAGAACATATTTCACTATTAAAAAGTTAAATTTACTCAATTGTATACGTTGTAATGTCTGATCAAAGATGACCCTTCCGAAAATAAGGAAATAAATGTTTGAATAGACTTTTAAAAATTTCGCCGCATTTCGCCGTCCAATCATGCATAAGGCGTGTTCCAGTGATCCTCCAGGATGAGGAATCCGTCGTATTTGGCTGCCGCCAGCTGCCGCTTTGAGAGTTACATCGATTTTTGTCCGAAAAAGTGAGGGCGGAATTCGCTGTTTCTCTACATCTTACTTGATTATCTTGGCGTCTTAATACACTCAGTCG